TCCACGACCCGGCCCGGGGCACGGGCCCGCGCCAGCAACGCCCAAGCGGGGAGACAAAGGTGCCCCGCCGCCGGCGGCAGCAGCAGGGCTTCGCCCGGCCGCGCCCCTGGGCGGCGGCGAGGGAGGAGGAGGGGGGAGGAGGGAGCGGCAGCGAGGGTTGGGGTTGGCCTCCGGCCGCCTCGCGGGAGACGACGCGGAGGGAGCGCTTCCGGGATCACTTACATTCCATTCCTTATATAAAGGAACGGAGGGAGTATTTGGTTAATCAATCAATGCCAAAAGGGCCACCCACCTGACATCATATTTCACGATAACCAAGCCGAGCTGCGTGTTCTCGTTTAGGGCATACGTTTGCTCAAAAGAAAAGTTGAGGGCATACAAATTGACGGCTTCGGCCGTCGGATCACTCCCGTCCGTCTAAAACCCAACGGCCAGGGAAATTCCGGAAAAAGGAAGGAAGGAAGAAACCAAATCCAACTAGATTCTGCTTCCGTTTATTCGTTCGTTGGTTTTAACCGCCGGCAGGCAATACAGACACGTACATTACATACGGCGAGAGAATAGTAAACCAGGGAGCGGAATTGCCCCCAGCCGTACGTGCGCGCCCGATCTCGCCGTCGCCGTCGCCGTCGGAGGGCCGCGTGCTAGCTCCGGTGCTCTCTCGTTCGGCTGTGCTGCCGGGCTTGGCTTTTCACCGCCATGGCGCTCGGCAACATCGCCGTCGTGCTTGGCTCCGGTGAGTTCCCGTGCTAATTGACCACCCCTCAGCTCCGGTCCACATCTATCTACCATGCATCGATCTATGGTGATCTCAGCCGCCGGCGGCGGCAACTGTCGCGTCCTTGTGAATCTATCTGATGTCCGATGCTGGGGTTTAGCTTACATCTAGCTTCCTGCTTACGGTTTAGCTTATATCTAGCTTCCTGCTTAGGGTTTAGCTTACCTGCGCGCTGGGTGGATACATACGGATTAACGGATCACTTTCGTTCCTAGTTAGTTTACCTTGAAGCAAGTAAGTAGATCCAAGCAAGGGAGAAGTGGGGGTTCCATACAGAATTATTCTTCGCAGCCTTTTGCCCCCATTTGGTTGAGAATTGCAGCCTCTGTTCTTGAACAATCTGCCGTTAGCCTTTAGGGGAACGCCGTAGGTTCTTCTGCAAAGCATACTAACGGATTGCAAAAACTTTGTTTTTTCTCGGTCTGTTGGCAGGATATCTGAGCACTATTCTTACAGGAGGCGACGCCAAGAAAGTCCCTATCATCGGGGACACGCTTGCCCATGTAATTACCTACTTCCATGACCTACCTTTGCCTCCGTGCCTTTATTCTCGATCAGTCGGGTTGATTCGATTGTATACACGCCGTGTGACAATTTTGTAACTTTGTTTGTCTCCTCCTGTATGTAGTTTGTGAAGAATAATGGAAAGCACGGCAAAGACGGCAGTAGCGATCAGTTGGCGTCTCAGGTTTGTTGTGGATGTGTTTGTTTTTCGTGTCAGCCAGATTGGTTTGACAGACTCTAGATCTAAAAATGGAGTTGCTTGACTCTGCTAAACATTTTCAGCTCAACAGTATCAAGGAGGAGGTACATCGAGCCGTACGCCGTAGAGACGAGAATGTTACGGTTATCTCCGACATATCAGGTCAGTGCTCGCTTGTTTTCTTGTCTCGATCGATTCTCAACCAAATTGATTATGCAAATGCCTTATGTTGGATTTTACAAATCTTATCTAAATATGTGAATTCTTATAGCTGATACGTATTTAATATGTGAATTACTATTATTATATCTTAGCTTCTTTTTTTGTAGGGTCTGGTTCGTATACCATAACAGCAATTGTTGTTGCTGGGCTTATAGGCTACGCATACGTCAGGTGGAAGGTAAACTCTCATTCTTTTAGGTGACCCAAGATTACACAACACCGAGGCTGTAATGCTATCCTAGATTATTTCCTTCTAATTGCAGGTCATTCTGTTGTTGAAGTCATATCTAGAACTGCAAATTCACTGCGCTAGTATCTAAATTTCACGCGATAATTTACAGGGTTGGAAGATTTCTGACATGATGTGGGTGACGAAGCGCGGTCTAGCCGATGCCTGCGATGTCGTGGGTAAACAGTTAGATGATGTTTCAAATACAGTACAGGTAAGGTATTTTTTTTTTACTGATGTTGCACATTATCGACTGTTGTTCTGAACCATGCTGTACATCCATCTTGACCTTTTCATCTTACATGAAGAACATATGTGTGTCCATTTCAGGTTACGAAGAAACATCTTTCCGGGAGGATCGACCGGGTCGATGCTAATCTAGATGAAACACAAGAAATTATCGAAGGGACAAGGAATGAGGTTCGTCGGAACATTTTTGCTGCATAAATATTTCCTTTCTGGTACTTTTGGATAGCGAAGCGAAACAACGAGACCTCTACAGAACCGTACATGACATTTTCACACCTCATATGGCTCCTCGGTGAATTGTTTCAAAGGGATCATTTTCCTCATTCGAGAGTCTCTGTCCTTCTTCCACTCCATCCCGAAGACTGACTAAGACCAACTGAGTCACATTTTCATGTTCTAATTGAACACTTTACATTTATCATGTAATTAAAGAAAAATATTGTTCTTGTACCGAACAAATGCAGATTAAATCACGTCTTATTATAAGAAGAAACCTTTCTCGGTTTCAATCCCCTTGCCCTCATTCTTTGAGAATCATAATGATACTTTTTGAGTTTCCATTTATTCATCTGGAATCTGGACTCTTCTATCTTCGACTTGAATTTTTTTGGCTTTATTCCTTATTTATTTCATTTTGATTTTTTACTAAATTTATTTACTGTCTTTGTAGGTCGCAGTGATCCATGTGGATCTGAGCGCCTTTCAGAAGGAGCTCCAAGAAGTCAGCCGTACGGTTGAGATATGGGTAGGTGCCTTGTACCCTGAAACATGCATACCTTGCTTACAGGAGCTACATATCACTCACGGGTGCACTTATTTATCTTGAATATGCAGGGGTCAAGGCTGTCTGGTATCGAGGACACCCAGGTATACACCTTCCTCCAACCCACACCCACACCGTTTTTACTTTACATGTTCCTGATGTTATCTACTACTTTCAAACCTGTATCAGGATCGTACCGTGCGTGCAACCGAAGCCTTGGTTGGATTCAGCCAACAACTGGAACATGGTGGCCAGAATCCCAACATTCGTCGGGCAAGTCGTCGGCCTAGCTTATGCAATTCCTTAGTGGCATGTTGCTTACATGATTTGCTACCGGTTCTGCATCAACCACCGTACTTCTCGAGTCTAAACCCTAACTCTGAAGAGATATTTTCAATTTCAGGTCTCATCGTTCCTGCCAGCTCTAGGATCCTCCTCTTCAGAGCAAAGCATCAATAAAATGGTAAATAAGACTAACCTTGGTTTTTTTAATTCAAAGTAAAGGCTCTGTTCTTTTTCAGCTCTTGCCATTCAGAAACCTAATATATGTGTTTCTTGCTGCATGTTACTTCCCTGCAGCTGCCGCCGTCTCCTCTTCCGTCTCTTCAAACGGTCAAATCAGTAGCCGAGCCTAGCGAGGATGAAAGCCAGGTTTGGTTTCGGTTTCCTAACATTGCAAACAATGACCCCTTTTAGACACGCTCTGTTTACACAAATCAAGTTGGCTTTGCTGCCTTGGATGATGATTTTAATTGGCTCTACTTGCGTTCCAGGAGAACCACAAGGTGTTGCCCTCGAGTGAAGGAAGCATGAGGTGGAAGCTACCTGGACTTGGGCTTGGCTTTCTGAGGAGTTCATCTGATGTATAGAGGAATATTACTGGCATGAGCTGTGGAACTCTAGGGATTTCTTTTGGAAATGCTCATCTGTATATCCAGCGAGATAACATTTGTAGCGACAACTTGGATTTCAGTTATAGTTATGTGTGGCCTTGTGTAAAGAGCTATACTTGCAATAGTGATCTTGATTATACCATGGTACTAGTGTTACTCCATGAGATAAGATAGGTCAGGAGTACAAGAAAAATCTAGCCCGTTCGCTCACGGGGATAATTTAGTCTTTTTTTAATTTGCTAATAACGGATGGGTAATTCCGACGCCCTGTCTCCAATTCGGCAATTCCGATTAAGTGGACGATTGACCTCACGACGCGGTCCTTCCTTTTTCATCCACTAACATGCATGGTGACTGTGTTGAAAAAATCACAAGAAAAAAAGGGGATTTCAGCCACCATGATTACAGTTATCAACTTACCCAAGTGTTGAATACCTTACTTAATACCATCACGCGGATGATATGATGTTCTTGAAACGGAGCTGAGAAGATAGCTAAAATGAATCACTTCTCGTGTTTCACACCTCTTACATGATGCAATGGACCTAGCGTGATGTGGGAGAGAACTAATATACCATGCATACTGCGTTCTTCTACTTGGAAGATGGAGATTAACCTAAACATGCAAGTAGGATGGTTAGATGATTCCACAGTCCAGTCACATGATTAAATAAACATTTCTTAAATGACTTCACTAGTAGAAAATGGGGTAATGATCCAGGCCAGGTCAGCCCATTAGTCTCGGTTCAATCCAGAACCGGGACCCATGGGGGCATTGGACCCGGTTCGTGAGCCCCGGGGGCCGGCCGGGCCACGTGGGCCATTGGTCCCGGTTCGTCTGGACCTTTTGGTCCCGGTTGGTGGGACGAACCGGGACCAATGTGCCTCGCTCCTGGCCCACCACCATTGGTCCCGGTTGGTGGCCTGAACCGGGACCAAAGGCTTCCCTTTAGTCCCGGTTCAAGCCACGAACCGGGACCAATTAATTGCCTATATATACCCCTCGCCCGCGAGCAGAGCACTCCTACTGCTCTGTTTTTCGTGGCCGGCGAGGAGAGAGCTTTGTGGTGCTCTAGCTCACCTCCTATGCACACGAGGTGTTCGATGGAATGCCCGAGCCACACTACTTAATCTTTCTCCTCTCCAAGCTCGACCTCCAAACTCCATTTTCCTCAATATTTGTCTAGGTTTAGCGGTCCGTCATGTCCCGTCCCCGTCTTCACCGTCGTCGATCACCCGCGCCGATCTCGTCGCCGGCACCACCATGTTGAGCCTCTTGTTCTTATCTTCTTTCTGAAAGGAAAAAAAAATTCTTACTTGTATGTTTATATAGATACTTGTATAATTTTCTTACTTTTATTATTGCATCTTATATAGTGCGATGGTTCTGGTATCCGCCCCCGTCGGCCCTCGTCCTGTCTATGATTCGGATGTGGTATATATTATCTTTTCATAACTATTGCTTCATTTATTGTTTATGACAATTATGCCGACCAACGTGACATAGATTTTTTTTATCTAGGAAGTTGTTGAACCGGAAATTCCAACCGACCCTATTGTCGAGAGGTTAAATTTAGTTGAAGAAGAAAACAATTTCTTGAAGGAAAAAATTAGAAAAATTGAGGAGGAGAAGATGATATTGGAGTTGCATGTTGCGGATGTCGTCGATGATCACAAGATCAAGATGGATGCAATGCGCTTGAAGATTAGAAAGATTAGAAAATAGGCTTGGTATCATTATGTCGTTGGATCAGTTGTTACATTGGTTGTGATTATGATCGCATTTGTTTTCGCATTGAAATGTTTTACATAGTTTCAATGTATGGTTTAATTAATTTAGATGCTCTGCAGAGCTTTATGTTGTTAGATGAGAACTATGTATGTACTTTGGTTTTAATGTGATGATGAACTTTTATTAATTTTGTCACTTAATTATCTATTCATGATGTTCTGTAATGGTTTTTGACACACTTAATTATATATAATGCACGCAGATGAACCGGTAATGGATGTACGGTGACACACACACCTCCGAGTACATTAAGGGCGTGCATGATTTTCTCGAAGTGGCTGAGGCAAACAAGCAGAATGGTTTTATGTGTTGTCCCTATATGTGGGAATACGAAGTCTTACTCTCAGCGGAAAATCCTTCACACCCACCTGCTTTACAAGGGTTTCATGCCACACTATAATGTTTGGACGAGGCATGGAGAAATAGGGGTTATGATGGAAGACGGTGAAGAAGAAGAGTACGATGACAACTATGTGCCCCCTAAATACGGTGATGCTACTGAACATCAAGAGGAACCAGACGATGTGCATGATGATGCTGCAACGGGTGAAGCTGCTGAAGATCAAGAGGAACCAGACGATGTGCCCGATGATGATGATCTCCGCCGGGTCATTGTCGATGCAAGGACGCAATGCGAAAGTCAAAAGGAGAAGCTGAAGTTCGATCGCATGTTAGAGGACCACAAAAAAGGGTTGTACCCCAATTGCGAAGATGGCAACACAAAGCTCGGTACCGTACTGGAATTACTGCAGTGGAAGGCAGAGAATGTTGTGCCTGACAAAGGATTTGAGAAGCTACTGAAAATATTGAAGAAGAAGCTTCCAAAGGATAACGAATTGCTCGACAGTACATACGCAGCAAAGAAGGTCGTATGCCCTCTAGGATTGAAGGTGCAGAAGATACATTCATGCCCTAATGACTGCATCCTCTACCATGGTGCGTACAAGGATCTGAACGCATGCCCGATATGCGGTGCATTACGGTATAAGATCAGACGAGATGACCCTGGTGATGTTGACGGCGAGCCCCCTAGGAAGAGGGTTCCTGCGAAGGTGATGTGGTATGCTCCTATAATACCACGGTTGAAACGTCTGTTCAGAAACGGAGAGCATGCCAAGTTGATGCGATGGCACAGTGAGGACCGTAAGAAAGATGGGAAGTTGAGAGCACCCGCTGGCGGGTCGCAGTGGAGAAAAATCGAGAGAAAGTACTGGGATGAGTTTGCAAGTGACCCAAGGAACGTATGGTTTGCTTTAAGCGCGGATGGCATTAATCCTTTCGGGGAGCAGAGCAGCAATCACAGCACCTGGCCCGTGACTCTATGTATGTATAACCTTCCTCCTTGGATGTGCATGAAGCGGAAGTTCATTATGATGCCAGTTCTCATCCAAGGCCCTAAGCAACCCGACAACGACATTGATGTGTACCTAAGGCCATTAGTTGAACAACTTTCACAGCTGTGGAATGGAAACGGTGTACGTACGTGGGATGATCACAAACAGGAGGAATTTGACCTAAAGGCGTTGCTGTTCGTGACCATCAACGATTGGCCCGCTCTCAGTAACCTTTCAGGACAGACAAACAAGGGATACCACGCATGCACGCACTGTTTACTTGACACCGATAGTATATACCTGGGAAGCTGCAGGAAGAATGTGTACCTGGGCCATCGTCGATTTCTTCCGACCAATCATCAATGTCGAAAGAAAGGCAAGCATTTCAAAGGCGAGGCAGATCACCGGAAGAAGCCCGTCATGCGTACCGGTGATCACGTACTTGCTATGGTCAATGATTTACACGTAATCTTTGGAAAGGGTCCCGGCGGACTAGCTGTTCCGAGTGACGCTGGGGGACACGCACCCATGTGGAAGAAGAAATCTATATTTTGGGACCTACCCTACTGGAAAGACCTAGAGGTCCGCTCTTCGATCGACGTGATGCACGTGACGAAGAACCTTTGCGTGAACCTGCTAGGCTTCTTGGGCGTGTATGTGAAGACAAAAGATACAGCTGAGGCACGGGAGGACCTGCAACGTTTGCACAAAAAAGACGGCATGTCTCCAAAGCAGTATGAAGGTCCTGCCAGCTATGCTCTTACCAAAGAAGAGAAGGAAATCTTCTTTGAATGCCAGCTTAGTATGAAGGTCCCGACTGGCTTCTCGTCGAATATAAAAGGAATAATAAATATGGCAGAGAAAATGTTTCATAACCTAAAGTCTCATGACTGCCACCTGATTATGACACAACTGCTTCTGGTTGCATTGAGGGGGCTTCTATCAGAAAACGTCTGATTAGCCATTGTGAAGCTATGTGCATTCCTCAATGCAATCTCTTAGAAGGTGATTGATCCAGAAATCATACCAAGGCTAAGGAGTGATGTGGTGCAATGTCTTGTCAGTTTCGAGCGGGTGTTCCCACCATCCTTCTTCAATATCATGACACACGTCCTAGTTCCTCTAGTTGACGAGATTGTCATTCTGGGCCCCGTATTTCTACACAATATGTACCCCTTTGAGAGGTTCATGGGAGTCCTAAAGAAATATGTCCATAACCGTGCTAGGCCAGAAGGAAGCATCTCCATGGGCCATCAAACAGAGGATGTCATCGGGTTTTGTGTTGACTTCATTCCTGTCCTTAAGAAGATAGGTCTCCCTAAATCGCGGTATGAGGGGAGACTGACTGGAAAAGTCACGCTTGGAAGGGACTCAATAATATGCAGGGACGGATATTCTTGGTCTCAAGCACACTACACAGTTCTACAGAACTCTACCTTAGTGACCCCGTACGTCGATGAACACAAGAACAGTTTGCGCTCCAAACACCCGGAGCAGTGCGACGACTGGATTACATGTGAACACATTAGGACTTTCAGCAGTTGGTTGGAAGCACGTCTCAGAGGTGACAACATTGTTTGTGATGAGCTGTACTTGTTGTTCAGGGGACCATCTTTGACTATATTGATTTGGAAAGGATACGAGATAAATGGGAATACATTTTACACGATTGACCAAGATCAAAAGAGCACCAACCAAAACAGCGGTGTCCGCTTTGATGCAACAACCGAGAGGGGAAAGGACACATATGATGGTTACGTAGTGGACATATGGGAACTTGACTACAGACATGATTTTAAGGTCCCTTTGTTTAAGTGCAAATGGGTCAATCTGTCAGGAGGCGGGGTACA